CACCCTCATCTCCGGCAGGCTGCCATCCCAGCCCACCTCGGGTGGGCGGGCAGCTGGGGGCATGGGGGCTGGACCGCATCTCCCGGCACGCGTCTCATTTGGGCAGAGGGATGGGCTTGGGGGAGGGGTCCCAGGCAGAACGCAGCCCAGCCAACTGTCCCCTCCAAAGCCTGGGCCATAGGTCTGGCCTGCACCCCCACACATATATCCTGCAAAACCCTGGGTCTCTACCAGCAGCCAGACGGTGGCAGGGTACTTGTGGGCTCTGAGCCTGTGTCCAGCTGGTGGGGGTTGTGGCCAGGCCTCTCTCCCGTGCTCCCGCATTCTCTCCGCTCTTACCTAAGCACCTCCTCAGTGCTAGGCTCTGGGTTGGCAAGGCCAGATGACAGGCACAGGTGACTAAAGCAGCCTACCCTCCCCATCCACCCCAGCCCCAGGACACACCCAAATGGGCTGCCCAGCACGGCTGTCAAACATGGCTTGGGCTGCAAAAGTGGTTCCACTAAGCATCATGGGGTCGTGCATTATTGGGTCCCCTGCCAGCCTGCTGTTTTGGACCAGGGGGACCACCAAAGGCTTCATGTGCTAAGGGGCTCCTAAGCCAGGCCCCCAATAGGCCATGTGAGTCACTGGCACAACAGCACAGTCCTGACGAGACCCTTGTTAGGGCCAACCCCTCCCAGGCACACTTGGGGGTGGTTGCTATCCTCCTGGGTTCAGACCCTCACCAAGGTACCCTGGTGCCAGCCTCTGGTGACCAGGGCTGGGCACCCACTGCCCCAGGAGGCAGTCCAGCCACTGCAGGACAAGTGGACCCCTCCTGGCTTCAGAGGGTGAGAGCATGGTGCACCCAGGCCTCCCTTCTTAGGCTCCCCAAAGCCCCTGCTGGCCCTTGGTGCCCCTGTTTAGCACCTGGGTTATCAGTTCACCCCAATGGGCCCAGGGCCCTCTGAGTGGGCACATACCAGGGCAGGGCTCAGCCTGCCCAGCTCTGACCCTTAGGTCTGCCACCTGGCACCCCATTCCACCCACTGGCAACATGCCTGAAAAAAGCGTTCTCCGGGTGCCCAGGTTGTGAAGAGGGCAGTGTGGCTACAGCTACCCAGAAACCACACATGACCAGGGCCATGGGGAGCGTGCCAGCTCCTCCCCTCTGAGGACACTGTCTCCAGCTGACCCCAGGCAAAAGGGTAGGAAAGCAGCCCTGCCTTTGCCTATGGACTGCTCCAGGGTGGGTCTGGGGGCTCCATGCAGGATCTCGCCTTACAGCTCCCCAGAGCCAGCCAGGGAGGCTCGGAGAAGGCTGCTCCTAAGAGCCCAGACCTCTCAACCCTCCACCTGTGGTCAGAACGACAGGAGCGCCCGTCGGGGAAGTGTGGCCACCTCCGCCCCTTCCCAGGGCAGCAAGTCTGGGTCAGAGCGTGGTGCCCACCCTGGCAGCCGCTGGCCCTCTCAGTCGGAGAATCCAAAGCTCCTCATCTGCGTGATAGAGCGCCGCCCTGCCAGCAGCAGTGGGGAGTCTCGGGGAGGGCGGCGGGGCTCCTTCCTGCCCCTCCCGCGGCCTGGGAAAAGGCAGCATATTGAGGCGCGGGGCTCCCAGCGCCAGGCCCCGGGATGCTAATGAGGGCGAGCGCGTTCCCACAGCCCGGACATTGTGCGGCGCGGCCCACCTGCTCCTCAGGGAGCGTCCATTGTGCCCGCGCCAATTCATAGGCAATTTAGCGTGCTCTAATGGGCCGGC